GCATTGCGAAACTTGTTCGCTCCAGCCATATGTGAATCAAGAGGGTTTAGCTTCAACAATCTTGGAGCGGAAATCTTATTCCCCATGCGACCGGCAAAACCTGTCTTAGTACTTCCGTTCTTGTCAATAAACAAGGTGCATATCAACACCAAGTAAGTATCAGTTGTCCCCAATATCCACTTCCCATCATAGGTAACATCCACATGAGTTATAGGAGAACCAAGACCCGGAAAAGCGGTCTTAGCCATTCTCATTGAACTGCTCGAGTACAATCTAATCTTTCCATCGAGTGAACCAACAACTATTGATCCATCACCAGTGGTAGCAAAACACTGAAAGTTAGTTCCCCTCGAAAACTGATGCCCTTGAGTCCAATTCAAAACAGGAGTACTTTCATTGACAAGATTCTGAACCATCCCATGTCGATCACGCATATCCCACCTACACAACCTGTTATCATCTAACCCTAAGAAAGTCGACCCCGAGGGATCCATCTGAGCTCCTTTGCTATCATTAGTAATATCCCTCATTGAGATATCAGTTCCATCTTTCTCAAACTTCCACTCGCTAACAACCTTCCCCGTCTCGATATCAAACTGATGTAAGCCCTTAGAGTGAGGCTTCTTATCGGTCACTGGACTCATGAGAAGCATATTAGTCTCAGCTCTTAACAGTAAAGCTTTCCTAGGAGTCGAATGAGCTACAGTATTAGCCCTTTCCTTATCGAAATTCACATAAACGCCTTTTCCACTTAACCCATGACTGTAATTCCTCACAACCTGAATACCTGAATCACTAATAAGAAAACTATTATCCAATGCACCTAATGCTAAGCTCTGAATAGCTCCCCCATTAACCGCCGCCTCCTCAAACTCCTCCCGCAAGTCATGGTTAACCCTCAAAGGCGTCTTCTCGGGGCTCTTAAAACTATCCCCTGCATCCTCCCACATCGAATCATCTGCAGCTTCAGGTTTCGCCCATCCGATAAAGTCCTTACCATAAACCTTAACTCTATTCTCATCATTTGCTTCATACCCATAAGTATTCTCAAACAAACAGCTCTGATATTTATCAACAAATGCATTGTACTCTTCTTCAGCAAAGAATTTCACAGCCCAAACGCCATTTGCAACAAAATCCACTCTCCTTTGGTCCTTAAAAGCCTTTAATTGTAAATTCTCATCAACCTTAGCCTTAATTTTGGACCCAATTTGCAAAGCCCAAAAACTTTTCTCCTCAGTTTCTTCATTTTCATCATCAGACTCATCACCACTACCCGATTTGACGAACGAATAAGTCGCAACTTTATCGGAGACGACCCATTTCGAATTGGCGGTGTTGAATCCGACGTGTTGGTAAAGTTTAACGGCGTTTTTACCGGTGGGATTGTTGGCCTTAGCATGAGGAGTGTTGTATTTGAGCTTTAGGGCTTTGAGCTTAGCTTCAACGTCGTCTAAAGAGGATGGGGTTTTGGGGTTTTGTTTACTGTCAATGGAAGACGGCGTCGTTTTGGCGTCAGAGTAGTAGTTATCTTCATCGTCGTCTTCTCTTTGCCGAGACTCCGAACTGTATTCGGATTCGGATTCAGAGTCGGAAAGCTCCAGATCTTCACGGCTATGATTAGCACCCATTTTTTTTTTTTTTTTTNTTTTGGCGTCAGAGTAGTAGTTATCTTCATCGTCGTCTTCTCTTTGCCGAGACTCCGAACTGTATTCGGATTCGGATTCAGAGTCGGAAAGCTCCAGATCTTCACGGCTATGATTAGCACCCATTTTTTTTTTTTTTTTGAGTAAAGGAAATTTAGGGAGCGTTTGATGGGGTTGATTCAGAGGAAAATGGGAAAGCTAAAATGAAAGGTGGAAGGGAGTAATGGAGATTGTGATTTGTGAAAAGTGGGGAGTATGAGGAGCGCGAGTTTGAAATTTTAAATTTTGACGGTTGGATTGGCTTTTTCAGATTAGGGTTTCAACTGTTACATTTTTATTTTATTTTAAAGTATTGTTTTTGAAGCAAATTGTTTTTTTTTGGTCATCTTTTCGAAGCAACTTGTGCAGTTGGATTATGGAATATACCACCTCAAAGAAAAAAAAAATTAGACCTAGAAAGCCAGAATACATACCTTAAACTTGACCATATTTTTCACTTAGACATTTTAACTCAGCTCATGATTTATTGACCACCTCAACTCTATTCAAAGTGTCCCAATTAAACCCAAGTTAAAAATTTTGTGCACAAATAAAAGTGTTTGCACCTCACGCATTCAATGTGGAAGATGCAACCAATTAGAAAGAGACATGTTGGAAAAAAAAATGACATGTCACTACATTCCTCTCCCTCGCCTTTCTATTCTTCTTCAACCTATCCCACTTCTCTCTATCTTCCCAGCTATTTCTCTCTCTAAGATAAGACACCTCAATGAATATTCTGTCTAATCCTCCAACTTTCGCTCTTTGTATCTAGAAAATCAAAGCTATGTGGAAGAAGAGCCATCAAATGTTGGCTGGGAAAATGAGATAGAAAAAAGATTTTGGCCTGAAAATACGTCGGCGTAATCTCTTTTTCAACTGGAGAAATTAAAAATTAGTTGCTTGTTTGTTGGGATTGATTGGCTATTTGATAAACTCCTAATTCGAATTCATTGAATAAGAACATAATTGTCATCTTATATTCTTATAAGAACTTATCACCCGCTGTTAGGGGCAATTATGCCATGAAAGATGCCAATGATCCTACTACCTAGGCGTGAGTCTTTGCACGATTCTTGTTGTTCGTGGCTTATCGGGAAAAATAGTGCGGGTAGATTTGGTTCCGGTCATAAACTTTTCTCATTTTTTCCTGTGTACCTTCTACCCTTTTCTTTAGCTTTTTCTTTTTCCAAATTTTAGCAGTGAAAAAGATTTGCTTACTATGTCGATGTGGTGGTGAAGCAGTAGAGGATGACGGTAAGGGGTTGATTTGTTTGGGAACACCAAGCTCTTCATTCATTCATGCGCTCAATTTTGGTTTGCTAACACATGTTGTGACATGTCAGTAATAAGTGCTTAATTGGAACACTTTGAATAGAGTTGAGGTGGTCAATAGGTCATGTGCTGAGTTAAAGTGTGTTAAAGAGCTACAGCCATGGCAAAATGAAGGTTCTAGAAGAAGAAGAGATGAAGGAGAAGCTCTGTTATTAGTCGACTGAGAAGAAGAAAGAAATGAACAGTTGTACAATATCACTAACTAACTACTATATTTATACTACCACTAACTAACTAACTATGTGTAGTTACAACTAATTATACTTAACTAATAAATAGTTGGGCCCCAATATACTCAACACTCCCCCTCAAGCTGAGGGATGAAATACATCTTTCATTCCCAGCTTGTCTAGTAGATATTCGTGTTGTGGCTTGCATAGAATCTTAGTTAACAGATCTGCCAGCTGCTCAGTTGTTCTGGCATGTTGAGTTTTAATTAGGCCTTGAACTAGTTTTTCTCTCACAAAATGACAATCAATGTCAATATATTTGGTTCGTTCATGAAAGATATGGTGAGCTGTAATTTGTATAGCAGCCTTACTGTCACAATGTAAATGTATAGGCTGAACTAGTTCAGTTCCCAGCTCCTTAAAAAGTCATGTTATCCACACCACTTCACAGTAGAGGCCATGCTATTCAGCTTTAGCAAAGCTCCTGGACACAGTTCCCTATTTTTTTTTTATTTCTATGATAGCAGTGATTCACCAAAATTTACAACATAGTATGTCACTGATCTCCTTAATTCTACACAGGCCCCTCAATCAGAATATGCATATAGAGATCGGAAGAGGGCCTAAAGTACTCTATCGTATGATAAATGGTTTATAAAAGCTCCCCATCTATCCGTCTGAAAATATATAGGACGTTATTTTTATTTTTAAATTTACCTCCGCGACTAACGGAACTCCATATGGGCATCTCATTAAATGATGTGGCATTCTTTCATTTGTCCACGTGGCTCAATGGGGCTAACATTGTATTTGGGTATTTTTCGACCCATTAAACCTATCTGACCCACTCCTTTTACCATATACCCACTCTTTTAACCATATACCCACATATTTTACTAGTCTTCTTCCCCAATCTTTTCTTTTTATTTTTCTATTATCTCTTTGTCATCACCTCACAAAAACTCCACCTACACCTTCTCCACCACCTCTTACACCATCATTGATGCCATCCCTCCTCCAAAAACAGAAATCAATGGAAAATAACCCAGCTAACAACATAAAGAACCTAGCTAATGAAGAACGACTACTAGAAAAATAAAGATCAACATCAACAATGGGGGCCTTCGCCGAAAAATTTCTCCGGCCAAAGTGAAGCTCCATTCTTTCCTTTAGTTTTTGAGAGACTTTTCGAGTCACTCAAGAAACTAGCTTAAAACAACAGACAATTTCAGGCGATTTCGAATAGAAGGGCTCAACTCTAGCCGGTCAATAATATTTTGAGATCAGTTCGTCGTTGCCTTTTGTACTAATACTTCGTATCCTTCTCCGGGCTTCGGCAGTATGGAGTGATGACAGTAACAAGAAAGAGTTAGATAAAAAATATGGGTTCGATGCTAGAAGAAGGAGAAAAATAAAAGCAAAATAGAAGAAAAAAGAGAGAACTAAGGAAGAAGAAGCCATGGCTAGTTGTCGGTGAAAGGTCCAGAGTTAGAAGATAGGATTGAAAAAATAAAACGGGTATAAAGTTCTAAATTAGGGAAGAAGACTAGTAAAATATGTAGGTATAGGGTTAAAAGAGTGGGTATAAGGTAAAAGGAGTGGGTCGGAGCAGTTTAATGGGTCGAAAAATACCCAAATATAATGTCAACCCCATTGAGCCACGTGGACAAATGAAAGAACGCCACATCATTTAATGAGATGCCCATATGGAGTTCCGTTAGTCGCGGGGGTAAATTTGAAAATAAAAATAACATCCTATATATTTTCAGACGGATAGATGGACGGGGGCTTTTATAAACCATTTATCATACTATAGGGGTATTTTAGGCCCTTTTCCGTATAGAGATTTTCTTGCTTTTGCAGACATAAACAGTCCAAGTCCATGGGCAGTTTTTATGTACCTCACTACTCTTTGAGCAGCTTCCATGTGAGACACCTTAGGTGCATGCATATACTGACTTAGCACTTGAACCACAAAGGCAATGTCAGGCCTTGTCATGGTTAAGTATAACAACCTTCCAACTAGTCTCGGATAGCCTCCCTTGTCTTTAAGTTCTCTATCCACTGTAGGCCCAGTTTTTGGTATTTGCTTGTCACACTCAATGGATGTGAGCTTGTAATTGAACTCCAAAGGTGTTGTTGTTGGTTGTGCACTTGCTAGCCCTAGTTCAGAGACTACTTCTAGAGCATACTTCCTTTGGCACATAGCAATTCCTTCCTGAGATCTGGATAACTCAATCCCTAGAAAGTATTTCAATTCACCAAGATCTTTCATCTTGAACCTCTCCTGCAAATCCTTCCTGACTTGTTGGATATGTCTTAGACTGCTCCTAGTTACTAGAAGATCATCTACATAGACAAGGATAACTATTAATTCTGAATTGATCTTCTGAGTAAATAAAGAGTAGTCATAGTGACTTTGACCAAATCTCATATCTATAAGAGCTTCAGTTAATTTCAGATTCCACTATCTAGGTGCCTGTTTTAATCCATAGAGTGACTTATGCAATCTGCACACATGCTGGCACTCCCTCTAGCTTAAAAAGCCATCTGGAACATGCATATATACCTCATCAAGAAGATCTCCTTGAAGGAAAGCATTGTGAACATCCATTTGGAACACATACCATCCTGAAGCAATAGCCAATGCAACCACAGCTCTCACAGTAACAATTTTAGCTATAGGAGAGAAAGTTTATGTGTAGTCCAATCCTTCTTGTTGACTGTAACCTTTGGCCACCAACCTGTACTTATACTTCTCCACTTTACCAGATGACTTGTATTTGACTTTAAACACCCACTTACAACATATAGGAATCTTTCCAGAAGGGAGAGGAATAATAAACCAAGTGTTGTTTTCTTCAAGAGTTGTGATTTCAGCTTTCATAGCCTCAACCCGCTTAGGATCCCTAGTGGTTTCTAAGAAGGATTTGGGTTCCAAAATAGCTGAAAATGCAGCAAGAGAAGCTATATAGGCAGAGGACAGCTTATCATAGGCCACATAGTTTGATATAGGATATGCAAATTTAGCTGGTGGAACCACATAATCAGCTAGCCACACAGGTGGTTTGGTAGTCCTTGATGATTTTCTGAGTGCTATAGAAGGAACATAAGGTTCACCAACTGAGATATAAGGAGAGTTTGGTGAGAATAGAATAGGTTGGCCAAGATCTAGAGGAGTTGATATGGAAGAAGAAGAAGGTTCAACTGCATCAGTAGAGTGCTGGCTAGGTGAGGCCGCAAGATACTGGCTAGGTGAGGCTGCAGGATACTCGGCATCATCAAGGTCAACAATTGGCTATGTGGGTTGTTCTACAAACTCTAAAACAGGAAATAAGGGAGAAGTACCAGAAGTCATATGCTTAAAAGGGAACACTTCTTTTTTGAACACTGTATCCCTGCTAACAAAGAACCTTTTTGAAAATATCCCTTCTGAGTTGAGGAATACCCCATATGAACAACTGGAATTGCTCTGGGACAGAATTTATCTCCTTTATTCATGGTAGTGTCATAACACAGGCTGCCAAACACTTTCAGATGCTGTAATTAAGGAACCTTTTGAAATAGCTTCTCAAAAGGAGATTTGCCTTGTAGCAATGCAACAGGCAAATGATTGAGAAGATAAACTGTTGTAGAGACACATTCTCCCCAAAACTTGAGGGGTAAGAAGGCTTGGAACCTGAGTGATCTAGCCATGTCTAGGATAGACATGTATTTTCTCTCAACGACCCCATTTTGTTAAGGGGTATATGTGTGAGAACTTTGATGTACTATACCTTGAGTCTTCAACAAGATCTGCATTTGGTCATTAAAGAACTCTGTGCCATTTTATGTGTGAGCACGTGATTTTTGCCCTATATGAATTACTCCCATAAATTCAAAACAAAATAATTTGTTTTCATTATTTGCAATTTTTGTGGATTTTGTGGCGTTTTCTGTTAATTGTTTGCATTTGTCTGTGCATTTCGTTTTCGTTTAATTAATGAAAAATACAAAATATGTTGCATTTGCATTTAGGATTTAATTCTATATTTTGGGATTAATTAGCAAATTAATTGTTTTATAAAAATGGAAAAATCACAAAAATAACTTATTTTTGCATTTATTTTTAATTTTAGTCTCGAATTTTGGAGGTTTTCTTTAATTTGGTATTTAATTATTTATGGTAATTATTATTTAGAGTTAGTTGACTTAATTCGATAGGATAATTTTATTAGGAATCAATTTAGGTTTTATGTTTAATTTTTAATCTCAATTTAAAAAGAAATTAGAAGAAAAATGAAAAAAATGGAAAATGAAAAGGAAAGGGGAATAAGGGCAAATTCAGTTCTGGGCCAAATTTACCCCAGGCCCAAACATTCCCCCCATGAAACCCGTTTGGCATGGCCCATTCCCCCCAACCCGGTCCGTCCCACACCCCAACCAAACGGCGTCGTTTCGTTAAGCTTTGATCTGAGTCGTTAATCGTGCCTAGATCCAACCGACCAGAACTGGCCCTTCCCCCCGTATAAAAGTGTCTGAATCCTCAAACCCCCCTATCTCCTGAGCCCAAAGCCTAATCCCCTCTCCGAAATCATCGCCCCTTTTCACCGTGGCTCCGTGGTCCGGAAATCGCCTCACCGCGGCGGAGCACTTCCAAATCCATCCAAATTTCGATATTACCTTTGTGAATTTAGTCTGAAGTTGTATAAAGTTGTCTGTTAAAACCAGTCCTCACTCAGGTTTTCATTCTTATTTTCTGCATTTTGATTTCTTCTTTTTCTCCCTGTTTTAATGCGCTTACTGTTTTAGCCACGAAGTTCACGTGATTGATACGTAGTTCAATTTTTCCTCTTTTCTTGCTCTAGTATGTGAAGTACGTTAGGCATAATTTTTGGCTGCCAATTTTGTCACATGTTAGGCTTATTCTCGTGTCTCATGTGGTGTCATTGATAGGCACTTATGTGAGTTGGAACAATCGTCGATTTGGGAAGTCGGACCAAAGTGCTTGGTCCGGATAGTGAGAGCTTAATACCGGGTCTGAGAGAATGACACTATGTCTTTGGGTGTCCTCTCTTGTGTTATACTCGGGCTCATTTTGCGCCGAAGTCTGAGTGTGTTCACAACGAAGATTTGGACTTGTTTATCCTCGCCGACCCATTTTTCTGTTATTTATTGCGTTGGCCCAAGCCATTTGTTTAAATAATTGATTTTCTTCATGTGAGCCTTTTGGTTAGTGTGGGCGAAACTCTCAGTTGCATTTAGCGTTCAGTAAATTAGGCTCGTTAATTGGTGGAAGCGAGCCATATTAGATAACATAACTAGCTTATGGCCCTCATCAGTTAGTTTAGAAATCCTTTGATTAGAATAAACTGAGGTGTGCCCTGCCGAACAAAATGATAATTGCATGGCCCTCGTATTAATTTAGATATAAAATTGACAAATGTACAGAGTTTGCTTATGTACGTTTAATATACTATCCTAATTATGGACACGTTCGCGTGACATGATTACGATTTCTAAAAACCAAACCGGAGTATGTGTTCGCAACTTTGGCCAAAAGTTTCTTCATATTAATAAAACGTTATTGATTGTGGACATGTTCGCATGGCATGATTTTTGATGCGCCAAACAAATGGGTACACGTACGCGTGACCCATTTCAAGATAATTTTTTAATTAAAAAGCGGTAAAAGTTAAATGCACATAGGTTCTAAAATGAGTAATTGAACAATTTTAATAAGCCAAGTATGATCAAAGCGGCTGTGCTAGAACTACGGAACTCGGGAATGCCTAACACCTTCTCCCGGGTTAACAGAATTCCTTACCCGGATTTCTGTGTTCGCAGACCGTAAATAGAGTCAACTTTTCTCGATTCAGGATTTTAAACCGGTGACTTGGGATACCATAAATTATCCCAAGTGGCGACTATGAATTTTAAATAAATAATCCCATTTCGATAGTCACTTAAATTGGAAAAACTCTCTAATACCCTTTCGGGGTAGTAAAAAGGAGGTGTGACAGCTCTGGCGACTCTGCTGGGGATCGAACCCAGAATATCTGGTTCAGGGTTCAAGAATTCAGCTTGTTAATGATTTTACTTGGCTTCATTTATTGTTAATATTACTGTATTCTGTGAATCTTTTGTGCTAAATGTTATTTGTTTACTACTTTATTATTGTTTGAATTGTATATAAATATTTTCTTACGCCACCTTTTCGAGTCTTCTGAAAATGGTGCACACGTTCTCGTGGCCCGCTTTTTCTGTAGAAATTATACCAAATAAGAACGAGGCTGGGCAAGTGACAAGGCCGGGTAGACTTCAGTGCTCCCGGTACGTCGCCCCCTCTTCGTCCCCAGTTGTCTGCTCGGGTACCCAAGTCTAGACCAAAACCCCAGGAGTTAAACCTAGAAAAACACAGCTTCATGCCGGATCCCTAATAGGAGCGTTTGTTTGCATCATGTGCATTTGACTTAGGGGACTCAACACAGGGGTTGGGTTCGTCTAGGACAGGTGTGCCCGAAACAATAGACCATCCTGATGCATTCTATATGCTATGTGTACATTTATTTGTTTTGGCTTGCATGCTGACCGGCTAGGGAAAATAAAGCAAAAAGAAAAACCAAGAGTGTTGTAGGGAATGAAATAAAGCCCGATTCTAAAGAAAACCCCGGTATTTGAAAAACGACCCGAAGCTCTGCCAAAATTTTTCAGAAAAGAAAGTTATTTCAAGAGAGTCAAACATTGTGTTCTTCCAAATGTGTCAAAACTGACCGAACTACGCAGGTCTGATTCTCACCGGATATGGGATACGTAGGCAACCTATATAAGGTTTGGCCTTATTTTTGAAAAAAAAAAGAAAAACAAGAAAAGAAAGTCGGTGGTCGAGTGAATGCAGTCTTGATTCTTGATCAAAATAAACCGATCCAGCTTCGGCAATGTCTTAAACTGTTCTTGCCGAGATAGCCTCAGAGTATTTTTCAGTTGTCGAAAGGCTATTTTCATAAAAGAATGGACAAGTTTGTGAAGGGTCATAAAATAATCCCCCCCTGGCCTCAAAATTCATGTGAAATTGGGAAGGGGCCGCATTTGCAAAAATAGTCACTTGGCTGTAATTGGCATATAGGGGAAGAAATCATGGTCCTTTGATTTGTTTTTTTTTCTCTTTTCTTTTTTTCTTTTCTCTTTCTTTTTTTCTTTTCTTCTTCAAAAAACTATTTACAAAAGGGTCCACTCGAGTCAACCCTAACCTTAACCTTCCACAGGAACATAATGAATACCATCCAGGATCCGCCAGAAGCGGTCAGGGAACATGCTCAGTTGCACTTGCGTATGTGGTGGAATGATCTAGATGAAGATGGTCAAAAATGGGTGAAAAAGCAATTGGGTGCTCTTATAAATATTTTTGAGATCAAACCACGGGAAGATCTGATCAAGGCTTTGGTAACTTTCTGGGATCATGTCCACAATGTCTTTCGTTTCTCGGATTTTGAGATCACCCCTACTTTGGAGGAGATAGTCGGGTACACTGAATTCGGATGGGATTTGAGGAACCAACAACTTATATTTCCAAGGGCTCCATCGGTGCACAAGTTCTTTGACCTCCTGAGTATCAGTAAACAGACAAATAAAGAACGTGTGAGCAATGGGTGTTGTGCTTTCCATTTCTTATAATTCAGGTTCGGGCACTCTGCTGGTTTTTGAAACGCATGAAAAGGGTCTGAGCAACAAACAAGATAAGAGCCTTTGGAAAATTCATCGCCGGTTCGCATTTATTGTGGCATTCTTGGGGATCATGGTTTTTCCAAACGAGAAAAGGACGATGGATATTCGTATGGCTAGAATTGCACAAATCCTCACTACCAAGGAAGATCATACACTTGCCCCATTGGTGTTGGCAGATATTTATCGAGCATTGACTTTATGCAAAGCAGGGGCTCAATTTTTTGAAGGTTGCAGCATCCTTCTGCAAATGTGGTTGATCGAGCACCTTCGCCATCATCCGAGATTCATGAGTTATGGTTCGAGCTCGAATAACTTCATCACTAGTTACGAGTAAAGGGTAAAAGATTACAATGCACCAGAAGGGTTTGAAGCATGGTTCTCTCACTTGAAAGTGCTTAACGCAGGTCAGGTCGAGTGGACTATAGGATGGCTCTCGAGGACAGAAGCCATCTATATGACTGCTACCAAAGGCTACCTGAGGTTAATGGGCGTAAGGAGTATTCAGCCATATGCACCGTAGAGGATCTTGAGGCAATTGGGAAGGTATCAGATTGTGCCTGAAGATGAAGATCTAAGCACCTAGGTCATAGAGTTACATCCAGAAGCTGCATTGCCCAAGGCTGTAGTTCAGTAGGATTGGAATAGCTGCCAGTATCTAAAAAATGGCACCCAGGTACCAGACATCGCCAAGGGGGAAGTAGATCCAAAATTATGCTGCTTGGTTTGAGAAAATGTCTTATGTAAATAACGAGCCAGAGCCCGAGAGGCCCGCCAAAAGGCCTCATGTTCAAGACTTTGATGATAAAATTTAGGAGAGGTTAGACTGGGGGGAGAAGGAAAAGGAATATAAGGCCACCGTCCATGATCTACGAGAAGAGTTGAGAAATGTCACCTTCAACAATGATTTGCAGGCACAAGAGGCTGAAGGTGAGAGGAAAAGATTGGTGCGAGAAAATGAGGCCCTCAGAGCTCAGGTTCGACAATTGAAAATT